TGATCATCTCTAGGTCCATCCATGTTGCTGCAAAAGGCCTTATTTCATTCTTTTTTATGGCTGAGTAGTATTCCATTGTCTCTGTGTACCTCATCTTCTTTATCCATTCCTCTGTCAATGGACACTTAGGTTGCTTCCATGTCTTGGCTATTGTAAATAGTGCTACAGTGAACTTTGGGGTGCATGTATCTTTTTGAAATATGGTTCTCTCTGGATATATGCCCAGGAATGGGATTGCTGGATCATATGGTAGCTCTATTTTTAATTTTTAAAGGAACCTCCATACTGTTCTCCACAGTGGAGAATTAATTCTTAAATAGAATAGGCCCCCAGTGAATCATCCACCCTGCTTGCCAAGTACTCTTTGGGGCAGATGTCAGAGGCCTGAGGGCCAGCCCAGGAGGTGGCCTGAGGAGGCCGACAGCCTCTTGTGGCACCTTCCTTGTTGTCCTAGTCGGAGACCAGAGGCACCTCCTCACCCATTTTTGGGCACTCTGTTCTCCAATTTTGCATCCCAAATTGCTCCCAAATTTCTCACCCTCCACCGTCATCTCTCCCTACAGAGACCACCTGACCTGTTTCCCCTCATCCATTCTTATGCCCCACAGATCTTTCCCTCAGAGCAAGAGGTAGGATCTTTCTAAAGTACAAACCCAGCTGGCAACCTTGCCCCTCCCTGCAAATAATAGAAAGCATGTACAACAAGGCACCTCTTTGTGTGCCGCTGGATCACGTCCACACTCTGCTCCTGGCTCGTCCTTACTCCCAAGCCAGCCACGTGGGCCATCTTTCCCTTCTGGACGTGGACCCTTCTGGCCACGACTCTTCCACCTCAGGACCTTCACACCTGCCCTTCCTGGTCTCTGCCTGGAAACACCCACCTCAGTCGACAAAAATGCCATGTCTTCATCAGAGGTCTTCCCTGATGTTTGTACTCATTGTACTTTGTCCCACCCCACCCCCTCACTGTTTTGTAATTATAAAGAGCTCTGGTTTGTGGATTTTGAGGTTAATGTCCATCTCCCCAGCATGACTGAGTTCCATGAGGGCGGGGGTCTTGTCTGTTTGTGCTCATTATGGTGCTCTCCAGAATCTGGGAGATGTTCAGCACATATTTGCTAAAGGAAGAATGGACAGATGCCTCAGTTTCCCCAGCTGGTCCCGTGTGTAGGCTGACATCACTTAGCAGGAGTGAGTGAGTGAGGAAAGGGACTCCTTTGGCTCCAGGGCCTCCTGTCCCTCGCACCTGGGGAGTTTCGTTGCCATCAGGCTCGCAGGCCAGGCTGTGGCCCCACTGCTCCATTTTTATTTATCCTGCAAACACCAGAGTCTCTACAGTAGGAGGAGGGTGGTCACGCAGCAGCTGGGGCTGGCGGGAAGCAGACACATGGGGCCAGGTGGTCTTCAGCCGGGGCATAGGAGCAGAGAAATTGGCACGAGGGGCTCTGCAGCTGGGGCCTGGCAGCAGGTGGGTGGCGAGGGTGGCACTGAGTTGGTGACTTGCCTTGGGGAGAGAAGGGCACTGTGGCCAAGGTGCCAAGAGAGTCTGGGCTGATGGCTAGGAGGGCTGGGCGGGCTGCCCATAATCGAGGAGGTGACAGTGGGCGTAAAGAGCCCACTTAGTGTAAGCGAAATGGAGGACTGGGGGTAGGAAGTCCAGAGCTTCAGCACCCCGAGCCAGCCGTGCCCCTGGCCTCTGGTCTTCCTCACGCCTCCTGTACTCCAGCCCCTCACTGCCTCCTAGTCTCCATGCTCTGGGCTTCTAGAACCCCCAGGCCCCCAGCCCCTGTGACGCCGTCCGCTCTCCCAACCTCCCTGTCCCTCAGCTCCCCAGTCGCCACCTCTGGCCTGTCCTGCCAGCGGCCTGGGCCCTGCTGGTCAGCCCCCTTCTCTCACCTCCTTCCACTCCCTGTGGCGCCCTGGCACCAGCCCCAGGTCTGTGTGGACTGATTTCCCAACACTCTTGTCCTCCCTGCCCCACACCCCCAGGGAGGGGCCCTCTTGGGGATCCAGCCCCCCAGAGGTCAGGTGGGGGGAGGGTGTGGCTGACGGAGGGCCTGGTCCCCCACCCCCCGACTCTGAGCTGTGGAGCTGAGCTAGGGAGAGGGTGGTGTGGGGAGAGGGAAGGGCATGCGGGGCCCTGCGGGGCAGGGGATGGGGTCCCAGAAAGGCCACACTACCTTCCCAGCTTCCTTGGTCTTGCCTGGCACCATCTGCCCTTCCCAGCTCTTCCTCAGTCTCCACTGTCCCCCCCTGGTCCTTCCAGCTTCTCACGGTCCCTCTCATTGGTGACTGAGGAGCTGGGGCCTAGGCCATTCTGCGTGTCAGGAAGGACGGGCTGCAGGGAGCTTTCTGCTGCATTGTGTGTGTAACTAGTGTCCCGGGGGGTGGGTGGCTATCGGGGGTGCCCCTGGGTGGAGGAAGGGACCTGTGAGGGGTGTGTTAGTAAACAGAGAGCAGTTCAGGAAATCAGTGAATGTTACTGTGGAAGGGGTTTAGAGATTGTCCCTAACCATTTACAGATGAAAACACAGGGCTCTGGAAGAGGGAAATTGGATTGGCATGAACAAGTCACATGGGGGCTGGTAATCATGCTCATCATTATCATGCTGGATATTTATTAAGTGCTACTGTGTACTAGGGATTATTGTAAATTCTTTATGTGTCTTAGTTTACACAATCCTCACACTACCTTAGGAGGTAAGTATTGTCATGCCTATTTTACAGATGAGAAAATGGAGACTAGAACAGTGAGGTCAGTTTCTCCACATGGTGCAGCAAGCCCATGCAGAGTGGTGGAATGTTGTCACACTACACAGGGAGTTTTGCTCCTTCAAATGGTGACATATATATATGTCACATATATATATATAAAGTCTGTCTTTAGAGCTCCTTAAAAACAATAGCAGACGTTTCACCAAAGAGGATATAGGAATGGCCAGGAAGCACATGAACAGATGCTCAACATCATTAGTCATCAGGGAAATGCAAATTAAAATTATAGGATACACCCACCCAACTGGCTAAAATTAAAGGAAAAAAAAAGACTGACAATTCCAAATGTTGGCATGGATACGGAGCAACTGGAACTCTCATTGCTGGTAGGAATGGACGATGAACAACCACTTTGGAAAACATCTGACAACTTCTTATAGAGTTAAACATACACTAATCAGATGAAACTGATTAGTTGTCCCCTGAAACTCAATTTCTAGGCATTTACCCAAGAGATAAAAACATATGACCATACAAACACCAGTACACAATGTTGATAGCAGCAGCCTTATACCTGATGGTGAAAAATTGTAAACAACCCAAATGTCTATCAACTACTGAATGCAAAACCAACCATGGTACATCCATATAATGGAATACCTCTCAGCAATGAAAAGGAACAAACCAACACAGGCAGCAACATGGATGAGGCTCAAATGCATTATGCTGAATGACAGCAGCCAGACACAAAGGTTACGTGCGATATTATTCCATTATATGAATTCTCCAGAAAAAGTAGATCTATAGGAACAGAAAACAGCTCAGTGGTTGCCAGGGGCTGGGGTGGAGGAAGGGGTTCACTATAAAGGAGCATGAGGACGTGATGGAAATATCTGATATCTTGATTTTGGTGGTGATTATACTGCTTATACATTTGTCAAAACTAACCACACTGTGCATTTTAAAAGGGTGAATTTTGGGACTTCCCTCATGGTCCAGTGGCTAAGACTCCATGCTCCCAATGCAAGGGGCCCAGGTTTGATCCCTGGTCAGGGAACTAGATCCCACATGCTGCAACTAAGAGTTCATATGCTGCAACTAAGACTTCGCATGCTGCAGCTAAGAGTTCACATCCCCCTGATTTAAGTATAGAAACAGTGGGCTGGAGAGGATAGAAAGTACGATGGTCATTGTTGCCTCATTGCAAAAGTGACATCAGAGGAAAGAGGGGAGCCATGCACTCTCTGGGAGAAGACTGTGACAGAGAGGGAACAGCCACTGCTGAAGCCCTCAGGTGAGGCGTGCACGGCCTAGGCAGGAGCCAGCAAGGACCTGGTGTGGCTGAAGTGGAGTAAGAGCCGGGGTTGTAGACGGGCTCAGACAGGCCCTGGGGAGCGGGGTGCATTGGGGGGCTGCAGAGGGCTCAGGCTGTTCTCTGAGTGTGATGGGGGCCACTCGGGGGTTCTGTGCAACTTGCCTTTTTTTTTTTTTTTTGCGGCACGCTGGCCTCTCACTGTTGTGGCCTCTCCTGTTGCGGAGCACAGGCTCCGGATGCGCAGGCTCAGCGGCCATGGCTCACGGGCCCAGCTGCTCCGCGGCATGTGGGATCCTCCCGGACCAGGGCACGAACCTGTGTCCGCTGCATTGGCAGGCAGACTCTCTACCACTGCGCCACCAGGGAAGCCCCAACTTGCCTTTTAATAGACGCCACTGGCTGCTGTGTTGAGAACGGTCTGGGCCAAGGACCAACCAGGAGGACTTTGTAAGAATCCAGGCAAGAGGCGGTGGTGGCTCAGACCAGCATGGCGACGGTGGTGTTGAGGAGTGGTCTGACTTGGGATATATTTTGAAGGCAGAGCCGGCAGGATTTCCTGCTGGATTGGATGTGGGGTGTGTGAGAGAGAGGAGGTAGGGATGATGCGAGGGTTTTTGGCCTGAGCAGCTGGAGCTCCAGCTGAAAACCCCATGGGGGCTGCTGACCGGTGTTACCTGTCGCCTGGGGCCTGTGGCTGAAGTCAAGACAGATACAGGGGAGGGCTCAGCCCTGCTCCTGGCTCTGGGGCTCAGGGGATGGGCTGCCTGTACTGGTTATTCCATTACCCTTTATTTATTGGCCTTATTGGCTTTTGTCATTTCCTCGTTGTCTCCTGTCTGGAGAGAAGACTATAAATGTGATGGATTGATACAGGATACAGGAGGCCCAATTATCTCTGTTGAGCCGGCCTCTCCTCTTGGTCAAGCCCTCCCCGTTCTTCGTCTTTGCAGCATCTCCCATTGCCTTGAAGGCAGAAGCAGCCTGGTCCCTGGCTGTCCAGGAAGAGGGAGTGCAGCCCAAGAGGGTGAGTGGCAGACAGACGGTCCCCAGGAGACACGGCTCCAAGAGCAAAGACAGGAGGCAAGCTCAGCCCCACAGAGGCCGGGCCGGAGGACAGCGGGGTGGGAGGGCAGGACGTACCGCCGCCGGTCAGCCCACATCCGGGGAGGGGGCTCTGCTTCGACTTGCACGCCTTTCTGGAATCCGAGCTGGCGCCTCCCTCCACGAACGCCGGGGCGATGGGGCTTTTCTCTCCGGCAGCAGGTGCCTGGCAGCTGCCCGTGGATGCCAGCCCCGTGAACTGGCCTGGGCGGAAGTGCCTGTCGGAGTGGTGATTGTACGTGCTGGGCTTGGGCTTGGCCCTGGCCCGTCCCCGTCCCCTGCCCTTCAGGCTGACTTGGGACGCCCACAGGAGAGTGGCACCTTGCGTGGGGGCCCCCCGGGTCCCTCTGGGATCCCCCCAGGATCCCCTGAGACAGAGCTTGGCAGCTGCCAGCCTTTGAGTGTCATTTCTGAACCAAATCCCTCGGCCCCCACCTCAGGCCTGTCTGCCTGCCTCTGTTCCTGGGAATGTCCTGAGGCCCCTGGTCCAGGGTGGTTGGAACAGGAAGCCTGAGGTTCCTTCTGAGGATTTCAGGCATCTCCCTATGGTCACGCCCTGCTCGCTCTCCAACACGGATCCTGGTTGCTGTGCCTTGAGTGTGCATGTGTGTGAATCCGCACCTGCCTCTCCATGTAGGCGAGGATCTCATGTAGGTGGCGTCCTTCCAGAAGAACAGAATGGAAGGTGGGGCTGTGGATGAGAATAGGAGCCAGGGACCTAAGAGAACAGAAGGGCAGGAAGGACTCAAATGGAGGAGAGGATCCAGGTGAACCCAGTGGACGGTGAACAGCTGGGTTGAGGGGGTGTCTGTTGTGCCAGCATTCCAGGGCTGCTCTCTGTGCCAGGCACGGGGCGGGGGCCAGAGAGTGTGGTGCGAGCGGGCCGGCCTGGCCTTCCCCAGCCCTCAGGCAGCGCACAGGACGGTGAGCTGGAGGGGTGTGCAGGAGACACAGTCCTGCGGCTTCCCCAGCCCATCCGCGGTGGCCTTTGGCACCTCCTAGCTCTCGGCCGCTGCCCGCTCTGTCTCCGCCTGTAGGAGTGAGCGCCTGTGCTGTCTCCCTGCCCCTCCCAGCCGCCCGGCACTGAGTCTCGTGGCCGTCAAGGCTGAGGCGGAAGAGTGGCTGGCACGGGGCAGGGAGCAGCCAGGGCCCTGGCCCCAGGGTGAGAGCTGACGTCTGTCCGGGAGCATCTCTCTCCCTGCCAAGGGTTGAGATCCTGGGCTGCATGCCTTCCTTCTGACACAGGAGCCGGCATCCGTCCCTCGTGGAACCTGGACCTCAGCCTCACCCCAGAGTGGCCGGGTGACAGCTGGTGGTGTGGTGACCGCAAGGCCCACTCTTGCCTCCCTCCAGATGTACCTGACACCTCCCAGGCCAATATTTTATATTGGGAGTATAGTTGATTTACAATGTTGTGTTAGTTTATTGTCATTTTCAGGTGTACAGCAAAGTGATTCGGTTATACATATACATATATCCATTCTTTTCCAGATTCTTTTCCCATATAGGTTATTACAGAGTATTGAGTAGAGTTCCCTGTGCTATAAAGTAGTCCTAGTTGATTATCTATTTTATATATACTAGTGTGTATATGTCAATCCCAACCTCCTAATTTATTACCCCCACTACCTTTCCCATTTGGCAAACATAAGTTTGTTTTTTTTATGACTGAGTCTGTTTCTGTTTTGTAAATAAGTTCATTTGTATCAATTTTCAGGTTCCACATATAAGTGATATAATATTTGTCTTTCTCTGTCTGACTTACTTCACTTAGTACCATCATCTCTAGGTCCACCCATGTTGCTGCAAAAGGCCTTATTTCATTCTTTTTTATGGCTGAGTAATATTCCATTGTATATATACACCACATCGTCTTTATCCATTCCTGTCGATGGACATTTAGGTTGCTTCCATGTGTTAACTATTGTAAACAGTGCTGCTGTGAACACTGGGGTGCATGTATCTTTTTGAAATATGGTTTTCTCTGGATATATGCCCATGAGCGGGATTGCTGGATCATATGGTAATTCTATTTTTAAGTTTTTAAGGAAACTTCATACTGTTCTCCATAGTGGCTGTTACGAATTTACATTCCCACCAACAGTATATAGGGGTTCCCTTTTCTCCACACCCTCTCCAGCATTTATTCTTTTTAGACTTTGTAATGATGGCCATTCTGACTGGTGTGAGGTGATACTTCATTGTAGTTTTGATTTGCATTTCTCTAATAATTACCAACGTTGAGCACCTTTTCATGTGCGTTTTGGCTATCTGAATGTCTTCTTTGGAGAAATGTCTATTTAGATTTTCTGCCCTTTTTTTTTTTGCGGTACGTGGGTCTCTCACTGTTGTGGCCTCTCCTGTTGTGGAGCACAGGCTCCAGACGTGCACGCTCAGTGGCCACGGCTCATGGGCCTAGCCGCTCCGCGGCATGCGGGATCTTCCCGGACCGGGGCACGAACCCGTGTCCCCTGCATTGGCAGGCGGACTCTCAACCACTGCACCACCAGGGAAGTCCTTCTGCCCGTTTTTTGATTGGCTTTGTGTTTTTTTGATATTGAGCTGCATAAACTGTTTGTATATTTTGGAGATTAATCCCTTGTTGGTTGCATCATTCGCAAATATTTTCTCTCATTCTCTGGGTTGTCTTTTTGTTTTATTTATGGTTTCCTTTGCTGTGCAAAAGCTTTTGAGTTTAATTGGGTCCCATTTGCTTATTTTTGGTTTTATTTTCGTTATTCTTGGAGGTGGATCCAAAAAGATACTGCTGCAAGTTATGTCAATGAGTGTTCTGCCTATGTTTTCTTCTAAGAGTTTTATGATATCCAGTCTTACATTTAGGTACTTAATCCATTTTGAGTTTATTTTTGTGTATGATATTAGAGAATGTTCTAATTTTATTCTTTTACATGGAGCTGTCCAGTTTTCCCAGCACTTATTGAAGAGACTGTTTTTTCTCCATTGTATATTCCTCCTCCTTTGTCAAAGATTAATTAACCACAGGTGTGTGGGCTTATTTCTGGGCTTTCTGTCCTGTCCCATTGAGCTATATTTCTATTTTTGTGCCAGTATCATACTGTTTTGATTACTGTAGCTTTGTAGTATAGTTTGAAATCAGGGAGCCTGATCCCTCCAACTCTGTTTTTTCTTTTTCAAGATTGCTTTGGCAACCTTTTGTGTTTCCATACAAGTTTTAAGATATTTTGTTCTAGATCTGCAAAAAAAATGCCATTGGTAATTTGCTAGGAATTGCATTGAATCTGTAGATTGCCTTGGGTAGTGTAGTCATTTTGACAATATTTAGTTTTCCAATCCAAGGACATGGTATATCTTTCCAACTGTTTGTGTCACCTTTGATTTCTTTCATCAGTGTCTTACAGTTTTTGGAGTATGGGTCTTCTCCTCCTTAGGTAGGTTTATTCCTAGGTATTTTATTCTTTTTGATGTGATGGTAAATGGAATTGTTTCCTAATTTCTCTTTCTGATCTTTCATTCGTAGTGTATAGAAATGCAATAGATTTCTGTGTATTAATTTTGTATCTTGCAACTTTACTGAATTCATTGATGAGCTCTAGTAGTGTTCTGGTAGCATCTTTAGGATTTTCTATGTACAGTATCATGTCATCTGCAAACAGTAAGTTTTACTTCTCCTTTTGCAACTTGAATTCCTTTTCTTTTTCTTCTCTGATTGCTGTGTCTAGGACTTCCAAAACTACATTGAATAAAAGTGGCAAGAGTGGACATCCTTGTCTTGTTCCTTATCTTGGAGGAAATGCTTTCAGCTTTTCACTGTTGAGTATGATGTTAGCTGTGGGTTTGTCATATATGGTGTTTATTATGTTGAGGTAAGTTCCCTCTAGGCCCACTTTCTGGAGAGTTTTTATCATAAATGGGAGTTGAATTTTGTCAAAAGCATTTTCTGTATCTACTGAGATGATCATATGGTTTTTGTTCTTCAATTTGTTGATGTAGTGTATCACACTGATTGATTTGTGGATATTGAAAAATCCTCACATTACTGGGATAAATCCCACTTGATCATGGTGTATGATCCTTTTAATGTATTGTTGGATTGGTTTGCTAGTGTTTTGTAAAGGATTTTTGCAAGCAGCTGTGGGCTCAGGAAGACTGTAAGCAGCCTGTCTGCTGATGGGTGAGGCTGTATTCCCACCCTGTTGGTTGTTTGGTCTCAGCACTGGAGCCTGCAGGCTGTTGGGTGGGGCCAGATCTTGGTGACAAAATGGCAGCCTCTGGGAGAGCTCACACCAATGAATACTCCCAATACTTCCTCCACCAGTGTCCTTGTCCCCAAAGTGAGCCACAGCTACTCCTGCCTCCCCAGGAGACCCTCCGAGTCCATCAGGTAGGTCTGGCCCAGGCTTCTATGAAGTCACTGCTTTTTTCCTTGGGTCCCAGTGTGCATGAGAACTTGTGTACATTCTCCAAGAGTGGAGTGTCTGTTTCCCCTGGTTCTGTGGAGTTCCTGCAATCAAGCCCTGTTGGCCTTCTAAGCCAAATGCTCTGGGGGCCTGACATGGGGCTTAGAACTCTCACTCCTGTGTGAGAACCACTGAGATATAATTATTTTCCAGTTTGTGGGCCACCCACCCTGCGGGTATGGATTTCATTACATTGTGAATGCGCCTCTTCTACCATCCCGTTGTGGCTTCTTCTTTGTCTTTGGATGTAGAGTATCTTTTTGATAGTTCCAGTCTTTTTTGTCAATGGTTGTTCAGCAGCTAATTGTGATTTTGGTGCTTTCGTGCGAGATGGTGAGCTGAAGTCCTTCTACTCCGTTGTCTTGTCTCACACCCCTCTCCTCATGTTGTTTTCACTCTTTTTGCTGCAATTTCTAATACAAAATATATTTTCTTTCACCACCCAGTGTACATACAGGCACTCACCCAAGTTTTCCATGTATATCTGAAACAATAGCTTCACAAAACAACACTTATCCTAAGCACATAGCATCCACTGCTATTTTAAATTCTGATATCATTTTAAAAAAAGCTGGTCGTGGCCCACTACACTGGGACATGGCCTGCCCTTTGAAATGCCCTGGTCTGGCTGGGGAGACAATTAAACAAGTGTCACAGGAGGTTAAAGTGGACTGTCTCTGCCTGTTTTGACCAAGGGACCAATACCAAGGGTTTCAGGTTGCCAAACCATGTGTCTCTTGTATGCAGATGGCTTACAAGGGAAACGGAGCCAGACATGGGGACCCCATAGTCACATCAAGGATAGAAAAAGGGGTCCAAGGGAACTTGTTGTGAGTGGGTTTCTTGCAGAGAACTGTCATGAGTTGTTTCCAGGACGCTGTGGCTTTCTTCTTGAGGATGGCCTGTGTGTGGAGGGTGCCACCTTCTAACCCTGGCCTGCTGAGGGGGGCTTCCTGGGCCTTCTTGGAGAGCTTTGACATGGAGGACTGGGCCTCACTGGGCCTGAGAAAGCTCAAGTGGACCAGCCCTGGGACCTGGAGGGAGGGTTGCTCTGGTGGTGGCCTTGGAGCACACTGCTGCTGGGGCCTAGCTGCGGGCCAGTGTGGGTGGGGCAAGTGTGCTTAGTGCTTCCTGAGGACCAGAGGCTGCAGGCAGAGAGGGCCTATGTGAGCCTCCACAACAGGGCTACCGGGAAGGTCCAGGGGCTTGGCAGGAAGAGGCTGGGAGTAGACCCACAGGTGCCCACAGGCAAAGGAAGGGTCACGGGGCCCCTGTAAGAGTGCATTCCTAGGGCTGAGGAGACTACAGGGAGAAGGCCCAGTAGGGAGTCTCCAGAAGGCCAGAAGATGCCCATATGAGAGTCCCCTGTAGCCGTCCAGCCACCCTATCTCCGACTGTCGTAGGACTGGACACTGTCAGGATGAGGCTAAGATGGTATTTACAACAGAGTGGCTGAAGGCTGCTGTTTCACCCAAGACTGAGTGGAAAAGCCCCAGCATTGGCCTGGTTTTTACCCGGGGCCAGGGAAGATTGTCTCCACTGAATGAAGCTGAAAGGGACAGGAAGAGGCAAAAATAAAGGCTGGATATATAAAACTGAATCACTTTGCTGTATACCAGAAACTAACACAATATTGTAAATTTGTAAATCAACTATGCTTCAATTAAAAAAACAGAACAGGGTCCAGGCCAGGTCATGTAAGCCATTTATTGGTTTGTTTTAAAAATATGTATCTTATTTATGCACGAAGT